GACGTGCACAAGTCCATGGGGCCGGATGAGTTGCATCCGAGAGTGCTGAAGGAATTGGCGGCTGTGATTGCAGAGCCATTGGCCATTATCTTTGAAAACTCGTGGCGAACCGGGGAAGTCCCGGATGACTGGAAAAAGGCTAATGTAGTGCCAATCTTTAAAAAAGGGAAGAAGGAGGATCCTGGGAACTACAGGCCAGTCAGCCTCACTTCAGTCCCTGGAAAAATCATGGAGCAGGTCCTCAAAGAATCAATCCTGAAGCACTTGCATGAGAGGAAAGTGATCAGGAACAGCCAGCATGGATTCACCAAGGGAAGGTCATGCCTGACTAATCTAATCGCCTTTTATGATGAGATTACTGGTTCTGTGGATGAAGGGAAAGCAGTGGATGTATTGTTTCTTGACTTTAGCAAAGCTTTTGACACGGTCTCCCACAGTATTCTTGTCAGCAAGTTAAGGAAGTATGGGCTGGATGAATGCACTACAAGGTGGGTAGAAAGCTGGCTAGATTGTCGGGCTCAACGGGTAGTGATCAATGGCTCCATATCTAGTTGGCAGCCGGTATCAAGTGGAGTACCCCAAGGGTCGGTCCTGGGGCCGGTTTTGTTCAATATCTTCATAAATGATCTGGAGGATGGTGTGGATTGCACTCTCAGCAAATTTGCGGATGATACTAAACTGGGAGGAGTGGTAGATACGCTGGAGGGGAGGGATAGGATACAGAAGGATCTAGACAAATTGGAGGATTGGGCCAAAAGAAATCTGATGAGGTTCAATAAGGATAAGTGCTGGGTCCTGCACTTAGGACGGAAGAACCCAATGCACAGCTACAGACTAGGGACCGAATGGCTAGGCAGCAGTTCTGCGGAAAAGGACCTAGGGGTGACAGTGGACGAGAAGCTGGATATGAGTCAGCAGTGTGTCCTTGTTGCCAAGAAGGCCAATGGCATTTTGGGATGTATAGGTAGGGGCATAGCGAGCAGATCGAGGGACGTGATCGTTCCCCTCTATTCGACATTGGTGAGGCCTCATCTGGAGTACTGTGTCCAGTTTTGGGCCCCACACTTCAAGAAGGATGTGGATAAATTGGAGAGAGTCCAGCGAAGGGCAACAAAAATTATTAGGGGTCTGGAACACATGAGTTATGAGGAGAGGCTGAGGGAGCTGGGATTGTTTAGCCTGCAGAAGAGAAGAATGAGGGGGGATTTGATAGCTGCTTTCAACTACCTGAAAGGGGGTTCCAAAGAGGATGGCTCTAGACTGTTCTCAATGGTAGCAGATGACAGAACGAGGAGTAATGGTCTCAAGTTGCAGTGGGGGAGGTTTAGATTGGATATTAGGAAAAACTTTTTCACTAAGAGGGTGGTGAAACACTGGAATGCGTTACCTAGGGAGGTGGTAGAATCTCCTTCCTTAGAGGTTTTTAAGGTCAGGCTTGACAAAGCCCTGGCTGGGATGATTTAACTGGGAATTGGTCCTGCTTTGAGCAGGGGGTTGGACTAGATGACCTTCTGGGGTCCCTTCCAACCCTGATATTCTATGATTCTATGATTCTCCCAGCACCTCCTTCACGCTGGGGCACAGCTGGTGTGAAGGAGGCACTGGGAGGGACGGGGAGGATGGAGATGAGGTAGGGAGGGGGAAGGAGTTAATCAGTGGGGCTCGCAGCCCCTCTGGAGTACACTGGGGGACCCCCAAGGATCTACTTACCTCAGTTTGAGAAATGCTGTTTTAAAATATTATTTAAAATAACTTTCCTGGAACCTGCACCTCTGCTCAGGATGGAAACAGAGTCTTTGGAGATTTCTTTTGGCTCTCTTTCCATTTTTCCCTACCTTGCACCTCCTATTTGCCTGTCTGTCTGTTTCATGTTCATCATGTCCTCTGAGCTCATAGCTCCTATCCTCTCTTGATTTGATCTCAGTTTCCTTTTGCTCTCACACCTCAGATTTCACCTGGTTTCTGTGTTTGGCTTTCAGTCTTTCCTTTGTTAATCTCTACTAACATCACTTCTGCTATTCTGTTTCCTCCCATCTCCACAATGACCTATGGATCTTCATATCTGAGCCAATAGTGAAGAAAAATATTAAGAAGTCTGACTCACTTGTTCTGGGATCCAAGACAGAAGTCTTCCATTGACTTCAATGGGTGCTGGATCAAACCCTACAAAGGTCCTAAAATATCTGGTCACTGGTCATTGGCTCTCTTCTCTTCTCTTGGTTGACTTGACAACCAAATGTTGCTCTCCTTTGGGTGAGGGACAGAGTGAAACTACAGTGTGTTCTAAGTCTCTTGTAAATGACAGATGGCTTGAAATGTACTGGTACATAGCAATCAAAATGTTCCTTTAACACATTCCAGTTGTACGGTCAAGTTAATGAAAAATACCTTATTGAAACTGCCATAAAACTGATCTAGGTACATGTTACACCACTCAAACTAGACATGATTTATTCATATTGGTATTAAGAAAGGTATTGATTTTTAGCCAAGAGAGACCCTCCTCCCCATGTGTGTGTGTTGTTGTTGTTGTTCTTGTTGTCTGGATGATAGTGGAGAGAGAACCAGAGGGATGGAGAACATGTAGCATGGTGAGAGGGGAAAGTAAATACCCATTCCTGTTATTTCAGTGTTGCATGTGGTTTCTAAAAGAAAACAATGATTAATGGCACTAGATGTGTTTCTTTGAATGTCAACTTATTGAAATAAAAGAGAACATGAATATGTTGGTTTTCGACTAACTGCATTCAGCAAATTCTTACCAGAGCTGAACAACAGGAAAAAGTATCTTGCAAGCCAGTTTTGATCAAGACATATAACCTTTTACGATGATGACTCAACTTAACCATGAAATATCTGGGAGTTATCAATGGGGTTTAGGCACTTACCTACCTTTAAAAATCTATCCCTTAGTCATCTACTTCAACATTTTTAGATCATTGATTTCTTTATTTCTATTTTTAAAATTATTGTAATCTCTCAAAGAAAAATGGTGCAATTATTCTTTTCACTTTCACAATTATTTTTCACAGAAACTGCTGGTGAATGTACACTTGTTAGTAATTAAAGTTTACTGATGATGAAGTTGTTATGTTTTTGGTCACGTAAATCAAGTGACCGGATGGTGTTCATGTTTCATATTAGATGGTTGCTTAGTTATATTTTAGCTTCAATTCATATGAATCCATTTAGGGAATAATATGGCAAGGTAAACACATGATAAAGTTTGTCCATCTGTCTATGACTTACTCCATCTGTCAAAATTGCTGAAATTACTGAATAAAAAATAAGGCCCTAAAAGTAACATTATAATAACTATGAGTGGAGAAATTACTTAAAGTTCATACACTGGAACAAAGGACAGTGGTAATGTGTTTAATATTGTGGCCAGGTAGTATTTTTATTTTCATATGCAGGTTGCGGCATATGAATTGGTAATCGTATGCAAACGCTGTAATTAAAATCATTCTGTCCAACAAAATCAAATGGAAATAAGATTTTCAACTTCTACGATTGTCATTCGTCAGTAGTATCCCAAAGTAGATCAACTGTGTTTCAGTAATTAACATACAGTTTAAGCATTACACAAATCACTAGGAAAGTAATTTTGGAGCTGAGCTGTTTTAATCTAATGAATCTTTAGTGTAAAATAATCTTATTCAGTCATCCACAGAAATGCAAATGGTCTTAGTATAACTATATGGTCTGGGTTTATTTGATAGCTGAGTTGAGCAAGAATATAATTAAAATCATTAAACAAAGTGATTTTCTTTGAATTTGTAAATAGACACAACTGTATAAATATGTAGTGATGCTGGTAATGCAGAAGCAGCAATGGGCAGAAGTATGGATTCTATCCAGGGCAGAGCCAGACATACACCATGTATGCAGTAGTGTACACTTGGCTCTTCAGTGGACAATGGACAACATCCTTGAAGACCAACACCACTGTGCTCCACTCGGACAGCATGGGACAATGTAAAGTGGCTTTTATAGCGCTGCTCTATTGAACTCCAGCAACTTGCAGCAACCCATTAGCTGTTTCTCTCCCCCACTTCTCTTTGTGGAGACACTTAGCAGCTACTTCATTGTTTCCCTTCCCACTGAAGCTGGGTTGCAGAAATATGAAGCAGCCAACCCTAGCTGGGTAGAGGAGTGGAAAGAGATGCTGAATAGAGACTTCAAGGAAGATGAACACTGAGGAGGAAGAGACACTGGGAGTGAGACTTCAAGAGAGGACAAAAAGTAGCAGAATCAGCCTGCAGAATGATATTTCTCAACTCCACCCAAACATAATAGATATCTGTCCACCATAAGCATACCATTCTGTTAGGGGTTGGAGATTAGGGAGATGATTCTTGGGAGCCATCCCAAACTTCATTGATTAATTTTATATACAGGGTGGAGCCTTGTTGTTTGTTCTGTGCATACTTTCAACATTACAGTTGTCCAGACAAACGGGCCGTTGGAGGGCTGCTGTGCATCTGCAGATTTTGTGTGCTCTCTGGTGAATTTTAGCAATGTGATCTGGCTGACTGAGTAGAGGGTTGGGAGGCAGGGACTTCAGAGATCTGAAGTTCCACATGTCCTTCAGGTGTCAGTGCCACACAGTTGATCATTCATGTTTACATTTCTTCCCTTATCATTTGTATATACAAGACTAAAGTCTTAACATTCCATCTCTCCTGATGGAGATTCCTTGCTCTGAAGGTTGAATTCTATTGAATAGCGCCAATTTCCTCTAAAAAGACCCAGTACATAAATAACCACAATTTATACACCCAGTTACTCCAAAACACAACTAATGCACAGTTTAACAGGGCACATATCTTCCATTTCCTTTGTTTACTAGCATCCCTGAATCTCATGTTATTTACACTTAAAATGCCTGTAATATTTTGTCTTTTAATTGCTGACAGATTTGTTTAAAAAAATGCTTCAGGCAGTTTCTACATTATATGATAAATAATGGATGAATACTGTTGTTTCTCTCCCTGCAGCGCCTATCAAATGGCTCTATAGACTCAAACGATGAAGCCAGTCAAGTTGTGGAACTACAGGAACTGCTCGAGAAGCAAAATTATGAAATGGCACAAATGAAGGAACGTTTGGCTGCACTATCTTCCCGAGTGGGGGAGGTAGAGCAGGAAGCAGAGACTGCCAGGAAGGATCTAATTAAAACAGAAGAAATGAACAGTAAATATCAAAGGGACATTAGAGAGGTAAGATGGTTCACCACACGTTCACCTCAAACTTTTCAACAAGCTGTGCATAGGGTATTTGACGTGAGCCAAGCTGGGTAACTCAACATGGCAATCAAGATTAGCACTGACAGAAATCTTGGAAGTATGTTACACAAAGTTTAATCTTTAAAAAACAAAAAGCACCCAAAATTATTACAAATCTTTTTACAAAATATCATTCACAAAAACAGAAGTGTGTGTCTCCTCTCAATAAATCTATGTTTCCTCCTCTACAAATTCCCATACATGTCGGACATCACCGCCACTGAAATATTCGTCCCTGCTCCTTATCTCCTCTCCTCATATATTTGTGACCCTCTCTTTTATAGCCTTCCAGATGATATCATGTCTCCAGGCTCAGATTTGCACTGAATCTGCTGCGTATCTTCTCAAAAATATACAAAAAGGAAAAATCACTTTACTTCCCAAGTACTACCCGCAAGCACGTACAACTGTCTGTCCATTCAATTCAGAATCTGTCAAAATTGCCTTCTCTGTTTTCAAAATCCTTCATGGAATTTTCTTCCTATCTCATAGTCCTTTTCTCTCTCTTTCCCCACATGTTCTTGCCACTCTTCATACAAGAGACTGCTCCTTTGCATCTCCAGCTCCATGACACAGCCTTTCTGTGTTTCTCAATCTCTATTAAAATCTCAAATTAAAACATGTTTTATACAGTTTAAGAAATTATATTGTCTCATTATGCCACACTGATATCTCCCTATGTCCTTGTCCCCAACTGCTTCCTTTCCTCATCTGTGCTCTCTGACATTCCCTTTCTCAACTTCTTTCTCCCCTCTCCAGTGAAACATTCATGGTCTTCTGGACATCTTGAGTCCCATCTGCCAGCTTCCTTTCTAGCTGTAACAATGTGCCAATGTTCAAACACACATGCTTCAACCTACAGCTGTCCTTTTTACTCTAAAACCCAAACATTAATTTACAGAAATAGAATCAAATTGGACTAAACTATCAAAAGCCAACTTTGCTAATATATATTTTTTCCAAACAGATATAAAGGTAACTGCTTGTGTGATCTAATTGGACAGCAGAAGAAACACTTTCCAATGCAGTGACTGAAGTATGCAGTGATAAATAGAGTAGACTGGTTTGTTACACTTAGGATAAGGGTTTTTTCCTCTCTTCCACCTATGTGGAAAGTAGAAATATCAAAAGATGTTTTAATTAAATTCATTATTTATGTAAGAAAAAAATATAACTTTATTTTCTTCTAACAATCAAGAAAAGGATATTCTAGTTGTTTGGTTTAACCTTTGTTTTAGGTCCAGATTATGCCACCTTTATTTAGGTTGCATAGTACCTTACACTTTAAGTAATCCCACTTATTTCAGTGAGACAACTTAGAAAGTAAAGTATACACAACATGAAGAGTAGCAGAATATATTTATTAATAAGTAATCTCAATGTGCCAAGATAATGCATCAACATTTAAATGCTTCTAAAAACCAGACAAGATTTTGAAGCTAAAACAATTCTCTGCAGGCAGTGAAATTCATTGACATATATTTCTGAGTCTAATAGAAACCTTAAAATGAAATCCTGACCAAACAGAAATCAATGGCAAACCCCCATTGACTTTAATGGGGTCAAGATTTCACCCTTAGTCTTCCAATAATTATGCGTATTGCATATTAATTATATATTGCATAATCTTCCAGTTATATATATATTACATTGAGAGGAGACTATACCACAACTTATCAGTGTATTTAGGACTTATTTTTTATTCCTGATTCATACATGTTAATTCTGTACAGTTAGTCATTTTCTGGGTAGTTCATCGTACTTGTGGCTCGCCATTTCACTTTGAAATAGGGAGAGATAAACTCCAAGGTAACATGTTAAAATGTTTCTGTCGTTTCACAGTAGCACAGAATCTGTTGTATGTCACCATTGTACTCCTCTGATTGAGTAACATATTGGGCCAAATCCTAAAGTGTTTACTCATTTTGACTCCGTCCTTAGTCAGGCCAAAACTCTCATTAACCTCAGATGGAATTTTGCCTGAGTAAGGCCTGAATAAAACATTGATAAGAGCTTCAGAATTTGACCATTTAGATCCCCGATACTCTGTTTACTGATGCAATTATCATATATCGGGGGTAGCCATGTTAGTCTGTATCCATAAAAACAACAAGGAGTCCGGTGGCACCTTAAAGACTTAACAGATTTATTTGGGCATAAGCTTTTGTGGTTAAAAAACCACTTCTTCAGATGCATCCCTGGGGTCAGCCACATTGGCCACTGCAGAAGTCACGAAGGTCGTGGAAAGTCACGGAATCCATGACTTCCGTGACCTTTGTGTCAGACATGGAGCCCTAATTATTATGCATACACACAAAGCGGGGGGAAGCAAATGGAGGTTGTATATGCAACCTGAATTCTGTCATTTCCTAGCTTTTGAGTGCCTGACTTTGCAACCTTGATAATGTTTTAATTTGGGGATTTTGTGTAAATAATTCTTGTAAACATTTATCCATTGCGATGACAATGTGAGTAACAATGTATTGTAAGAAACTATTCTCACCAGAGTCTCTAATGGACCGCTTCCTAGTCAAAGCTTAGAACCAGTACTCCATCCTCATCCTCCTTGACACATCAGCCACTTTGACACAGTCAATCATGCTCTCCTTCTTGTCCTCATGTGGCTTCCATGATTCTGTCCTCTTCTGGTTCTCTTCGTACCTCTCTAATTGCTTCTTAAATATGTCCTCCAGAGGATCCTTCTCATGTCCCCTGTTCAACTTTCTGTGGGGTTCCATAGGGCTCCACCCTTGGACATCTAGCTCTCAGCTCAAACTCAATATGGCTAAAACAGAATTCTTAATTTTTTCACCCCAGCTCCCATAATGCCCCACGCTTAGGAGGAGCTCCCCGTAAACATCCACAAAGCTATCTCATTATCCTCCTTGAAATCGTTCCTTAACACTTTTCTTTGCCATGATGCCTACAAAATATTTGTCAACCATCAGGCTGCTGATGTTCTGTGACCACAGCTTATCATTCTGACAAGTGTTGTTTCATTGTTTCCTTGTACTCCCCATCTATCTGTCTGTATCCATCTGTTGTCTTCTGTCTCAAGGCTGTCCCTTTGTTCTTTGGGTTCTTGGTCTGTGATTTGGGCTCCTAGGCACGACTGTAGTATAAATAATAATAATAATAATAATAAATAATAATAAGATACAGGTAATGCAGTCACAATCCGAAGAAAAAATTAAAAAGTGCTACATCTGGAAGTTTCTTATTGGAAAATCTTGCATCTCATGCTGGTGAATTCACTATTGGCATAACCAAGAGAGATAAGAGCCATGTGGTTTGAGAGACATTTTCCCATTCACTGTAAATTACAGGATTTTTTATACTTCAAGTCGGTATGTAAGAAAACTACTGGAACATATATATATATATATATATATATTTCATTTTAGTGTATCCAAGGTATACACAGGCCTTCTCCCTGTGATATAATTGAACCTTTCTATTGTTTCCTTCCTTTTCTGATTGCTGTTTACTGTGAGTATTTATAGAAACTGTTTTAGCATTCATAGTTGACAGAGAGAAGCTGTTTCTTTTTGACTTTTGAACATCTAGCATAAATGTAGACGTTGTACCTGCAGCTTGAAAATCAGTTCTGTTATGTGAATCAGTGAAGCCAATGAATAAAAGGCAAAATCAAATATCAAGGGATTCCACTCTTTAGTGGTCAACATATTTTGCTTCAAAGGGAATAACTGTTTTGAAATACAAAATGTGGAACATTATTACTCTATCCCACTACTTCCTGCATCAGCATTGCCCTTCTCACCCTGTATTATCCGTTTGCTCCTCTCTTTAGATGACAAAAAAGCAATCTCTTCACAGGCCCCTTTATGCTTTGCTTCGAAAATGCTATCAGTTGTCAGTGGGTAGTAAGAGAAAGGAAGCAGCTGTCAGAGGTGCCTTAAAGAAGTGCTCAGTGTGAGGGTTGGCATGAGCGGGCAACATCCCAGTGAACCTGCAGGGAAAATGATTTCAGCAGCAGCTTTTTCCTTCTTGCAAGGCTTCTCTTCCAGTATTGCCAACCCTGAGCATTTAAAACTCTTGAGTCAGCCTCCCCAAAATCATCAGACTGACTTAGAAATCATGGTATTTTAAAAAAATTTTGTACAGCTTGGTTCTTTTTATTTGTCGTCTTGTTTTTCCCTGCTTTTATGCTTCATATTTTCATGTTTTTCTCAGCAAACATAAGGACTAGAAACTTATTTTTAAAAAAACCTTCAGATTCTCAAGTATTTACACAACTGCAATAGCTGGGACTTGAGGAAAAAAACAAATATCACAAAGATATCAATAAAATCAGAATTGTTGACATCTGAGTCTTCTGCCCTAACTGGGTTCCCCACAACAGGTCCCTTTGTCTCCCCAGGATATTCCTGGCAAACACAATAGCCCTGTTAGAGTTGGTCAAAATGTTTGAATCAGAAAAACAGTTCATGGTACAACAACTATATTTACAACTAAATTAAATTTTGGTGAAATATGATGTTTTGTCAAAGTCAAAACCTTGCATGAAATGAGCTAGAGCAATGGCTAGGGTGCTGGCCCACGATGTGGGCGACCCAGTTTCAAGGCTCCCTCATTCAAAGCAATCTGAGATTAAAACTCTCTTCTACCTAATTTACAGCAGAGTTTTCCATTCCCACTCAGGCAAAGAAGGGACTTCAACTTGTCACTCCCACATCCCATGCCGGTTCCCTAATGGCCACCCACATACACACCCAAATGCAGAACAAAAACAAATTTCAAAACCACAAAATTTGCCACAAAATGGAATTGTCATCTTCTAGTCAGCTCTAGTCCTGACTCCCTTCTGCTCCTTTCCTTTCTATGTCCCCTCCACACTTCCCCATCTTTGAGGAGGAGCATCAGAGGCTATTTTTTCTCCACCCAAATGGCTCTTTAAGGAAGTCACCTGCTACAGACTACTGCCTATTCAAACCTGAAAGGATCTTCGCAAGAGTACAGTGTACTCCCGACTTTCTGAATAGCATGTGGGGGGGGCACGCTGATTTTGTTCCAATAATCAAGAGGGTGGGAGCCGTTCAATTGGTAGGATGGCCGTCCCTGCTGCCGGGGGGCTCCTCCTCGCAGACCTGTCCAGGAGTCTCTGCTCTGCCAACTCACTCTCTCTCTTGTGACAGCGGGACTGCAGAGGGCTCCTAGGGCTGCTGCAGGGCCAGTGACACCTGATCTCAGCAGATGCAAGGTGCTGGTGGGACGCTGCAGGCCTGGTGGGGCAGAGCAGAGTCTTGGCCAGCAGTCTGTGCTCCGGGGACAAGGAAGGAATTCAGATAATGCAGAGGTCTGGATAATAGGGTTTTGGATAAACGGGAGTGTACTGTATTATTTATTTATTTGTTTATTCAGTTATTATTTCACTTACATTGCAGTTTCACCTAGATACCTTAGCCAGGGTCGGCGCTCCATTGTGCTAGGCACTGTATAATACAGTAAGTTATAGTCCATGTCCCAAAGATTTTACAGTACATGCATCAGAAAGCAGCTGAAATAGCAAACATCCTGGTTTAGCTACCAGCCATTGGCTTTACTGAGTACAGGAGATGAGTCTACCTTAATCACTGTGGTTACAGAACAATAGCTACACAGATCCTGAGGTTTTCTTGTAACTGCATGTTAGGGTTTGTGGCATGTTTCTCATTCCTTGTGCTCAATCACACCTCTTTTTTTTTAATAATCGCAGTTGTTTGGTATGTGTGGGCTGCAGCCTGTCTTTCAGAAGACCTTTTTAGGAGTGCCCCCCCGGCAAGGAAATTGTTGTAGTCCTGGCTCCAGGCCCCTTCTGCTGGACTCTGATTGTGGGAGGCTCACTGGGATGGTATATTCCCTACCTTCCCTTTCTCTGTATACATCAGAGAGGAGACAAGGAGACAAGCCTGTGGGTGGGAGATGTGTTTCGTGGTAGAAAGAGCTTGACTATAGAAGAAATGAGGTTCCATTTGGAGATTTGAATTCATTCAACTCAAACCTTCATGTAAATAGGCAGGGATTAGCTCAATGCCAGCCTTTATGAACTTAATCTACAGGACTCCATTTCCAAACAATATCTCTACTGATTCGGAAGGGTTCATGCAGCCTTAGTATTTCTGACCTCCCACCCACACTCTTCTCCTGGCAAATTAAAGAATTAGGTTTGATTGATAACACTAAATACTCACAGTAGGAAAGGGTTTGGATTCACAGTGAGTCAAGTTAGCCAGTTCTGGATCCCGGTGCTGTGCATTTCAGTATTGGCCTTTATCACCTCCTTTTGTAATAGATTTACAATATATTAAAGCACATAAGCTTTCTTGATCAGCGGCATATAACTTTTATAGTACTGCTATAGATGTTAAGATTTGATATATGAAGTGGATTCTTTTCCTTTGTCTTCATGTCTGCAGTTATTTAAAAAGTAAGCAAGCTGATGTTGGGTTCTTTGTTATATGTATCACACATACCAAAATGCAGATAACTAGGGAAAAAAAGACAAGTTGAGAAATCTTCAGTTTTCCCTGAATGTTTTTCTGAACTATATATTTAACTATGTTATTGGGTGGCATTAAATTCTGCTATAGACATTTTTAGGTGGTTTATTTATATGAAGACATATTAATCCATAGGGGAAAAAATGCTCCCTACAGAAAATTGGAAAATCACTTCCTCTGCATATTTTTTGCAGCTCGGTCTACTGTTAACATGAACATTAAGCAGACATTTAAACTAAATGACATTTGAAATACATGTTTTTTTCATTTTAGGCTATGGCACAGAAAGAAGATATGGAAGAAAGAATCACTACCCTTGAGAAGCGGTATCTCAGTGCACAGAGGGAATCCACCTCCATACATGACATGAATGATAAACTGGAAAATGAACTGGCAAATAAGGAGGCCATTTTGCGTCAGGTTCAGTATCTGCGGAGCAGCTCTCTTCATGCAGATTTAAAGTTAACATGAAAGAAAAAAAAATGAGTCCTGAAGTTGTGGTAGGAGGTTTCTATTAAAGTAGGCCAAGTTTCTCATTCTAAATCAACCATAACAGAGCATGGACAAAATTGCCTTTAAGAAAATCAGTCAGGTCAAAGTCTGTAAGGTTCACATTAGCTACCAGAATCGTAAATATATTGTCCACTCAGCTCCAATTTGTCCAATTTGTCCACTCAGCTCTGTGAGGTATCTGTGCTGAGTTATGTATCCCTGTGGTGTCTGCACCAGTGCACATCAAATCACATGAGCTAAGCAAACAATGATCAGTTTGTTCCCCATTTTTTCTTGGATATCGTTGGTCACATAAATGTGAATAAAAATGATATATTTTAAAAGAAAGATTATTCCACCAAATACTGGTCATTTGCAGAACATGGGTTTTAATAAATGAAAATATTTTAATAATGCATGAATTACACAGATAATTGTGTCATCCATGTATCTTCTTTTTAAAAGGGTTTACAAGGATGAGATAGTTTTCTTTTATGTCATATTTTCTTTCTGCGATTGTTGCAAAACCTCAAGTCCACAGTTGAAATAGGGGACTCCAAAGCCCATCATTTAGAACTTATTCAAATTTATGGATTCTAGAGCTAAAAAAAAGCTTTTAGAATCCTTAGGGTTTGTTTATCCTATAGGAAGGGAAGTTTTCTAGTAGTTCAGTCAGGAGACTGGAAGTCAGAACTTACAGGTTCTATTCCTGATTCTTTCTCTGGCTCAGTACAACCTTGAGTTAGTTGGTTTTAACCTCACAGGCACAGGATTTAAATTTCTGTAAAATTTGTGTAGATACCTCACTGGGGTGCTGTGAGGCATTATTAATTATTATATTTCAATATTTGTTGTCATCAGGTGCTATACAGGAGAGTGGGCACAAGTACTTTTGAGTACCAGAACCCTCAAATTGCTTCTAGTTGTAGTCTGTCAAACTCAAAGTGATTTGAGTTTGACAGAATAATCCTAGTTATGTGCCAACTAGGTCATTTGTGATTAAGTTTGTGAAACAACAAAACTTTGGCTCTGATTCTCCTTTGTGGCTGAAATACACACTGCATAGGGTGGTTGGGAAGGGGTGGGGGCAAAAATGGCATTGCCTTCCAGTATAAATTAGAGCAGCCTCAGAGTTGCTCTTACATATGCTTCAGCAGATGAAAGTCAGTTGGTGCAGTGAAGCTCTGCCCCAACCCTTGTTCTCCTGGGAATTCCCAGCACATCAGATTCTGTAATGGTGGCTGGCTTAGAATCACAGAGGGTTAGGGTTGGAAGGGACCTCAGGAGGTCATCTAGTCCAACCCCCTGCTTGAAGCAGGGCCAATCCCCAATTTTTGCCCCAGATCCCTAAATGGCCCCCTCAAGGATTGAACTCACAACCCTGGTTTAGCAGGCCAATGCTCAAACCACTGAGCTATCTCTCCCCCAGAACTATTCAACTAGCCATGCTAGGTTGGGAAATGAGGTACAAGAGAGATCTGCTACCTTTAAGGCACATTTACACAGCCGTAGTGCTATAAACGGGCCATAGGGCAACAGAGAATCAAGTCCTTTGTCTGACCAATGGATCAGGTGAATGGAGGACATTGCTTATAGTTTCAGGTAAGGATTACAATATGGATAGAAAACTGTAATGCAGAACTATGTATATTGTTTAAATTTTGGAGAAGTGAGTTTCTTTCTCTCCGTTAATAGACAACAAAGGTTTATTCTTTAATTTTTCAAATGTCTTATCTGTAAACAGTATATAATGCAAAAGAAAAAAAAGAGCTCCCCCCATCATAAGGCACTTTGAGAATACCTTGATAACTGAATTGTCCTCTAATTGAGTGAAACCCCATTAAAATAAAAATATTTATGTTAATTAATGAGAATGAAAAGATCAAAACAAAAAACTTTTTGGGTTCTATTTTGAAAGTTGTTTGAAGACTGTCATTAATTTTCCTCTTTAACCGTAACAACAATAGATGAAAGCGCAAGATACCTATATCAGCTGTTAGTTTTTTATTAGCAATTTAAGTAGTTTTACAATATGCATAAATTGCCTACAGAGAATAGTAAGTACTGATAATTGTGCTACATAAAAGCAGGCTTAGAATACATTTGCAGCATTGCAACATCAACAAAATACATTTTAAACCTTATTACCAGTCAGAGGATTAAAATACCACTACAAAAGATTACAGTATTTACAGCATGCTCTTGTTAGTCCCACCCTAAATTCATTGGAAGGGGACAATTAATACTAAGTGAAATCATATTCATTTTGTATGTTTCATAGGGCAGGAAATGCCCTACTTATCAAAAGAAAACTGAAAGGCCCACCCTTTTTTTCCCTCTCTGTACTTCTCTTTCATTGATTATCAAAGGTTCAGTAATTCCATTTACATAAAACAAGATTTAACTGTAAATTCACAACAAAAAATTAACTGTGCAGCATTAAGCAAATAGCTGACAGGAACTAATAATAGATGTCCTTGGATGAGTTACCAGTGCTGATTTCATCATCACACTAGTGGTATGTTATTGGCATCAATTTGTTTCAACAATTTTTTAGCAAATGTATCCTTCTAAAACATGTATTTCTCCCCAATCTCTTACGCTCTCAGTTTTGCAGTAGAGACGATGTTTGTATCTGTGGCTTTCAAAACTCTGATTTTACTGGCACAAGCGCTGTCTGTTTTCCCTTGGCTGGCACTGATAGCGCACAGATCAGAGGGAAAGGAATGTTTCTTCATCTTCATACTTTACAGATTGCAACTTCTTTACTTGGCCTTGATATGATATCCTTAGTCCTCATATCAGTCATAGAGTAAAAGGCCCACACAGTTCCATACTTGGATTAATCCTTTTCACAAACTCTCTTGCAAGCTGGAGAGTATCTGTGTCTGAACCCAGTTGGAGTGCCCGCCTCAGAAAGTCCCCCAAGAATTGCAGTCATTTCTTAATTCTGCCTTTTTATATTTTCTGTTTTCATCTCTGGGTTTCAGATGGAAGAAAAAAACAGACAGCTGCAAGAACGTCTTGAGCTCGCTGAACAGAAGCTGCAACAGACAATGCGGAAGGCTGAGACCTTGCCTGAAGTGGAGGCTGAACTGGCTCAGAGAATTGCAGCACTGACGAAGGTACTGCACTGAGAAATAGGTTCATTTCAGAAATGTTTGGTTTAACTTTGGTTTAATACATTCTGTATTCCTCCCTACAACAACCATAACAAAAAAGGACTTCATTTCAACCTCATAAGAAATGCGGGGAAAATATGCTGTGTAGATGCACGGTAAGCAAATGTTAATTATGTAACATAAGTAATATTACCCTGGCTTTATTAATGCCATTGATATAATTTGATATACCACATGCGTTGACTGTATTTCTCACAGTCTTTATTGGCAGGTGCAGAAACTACTCTTACTTTAGATTACATTATATTTAAAAAGATGTCATGGATTTCCAACAAATTTGTTAACCCAGTTAGCTTTCAAATAAATAAACATTTCCCCTTTAACTCAAAAAAATCAAGCTAGTAAATCATTTTTCCATAATGTTATTTACACCACATTAATTAGGAGAGACACAATAATCATTTTCACCACAATAAATGACACAAAATTACAAAAAATTTCTTACTGGCTTTTGGGATTAGTGGTGTGTGACATAAACAAAGCCATCTTGAATATTGATTTTCTTTAATTGATTCTTTGTGGACTACAACTGATAAATCACAAGGAAAAATATAAAGCCCTAAAGGGACCAAAGACACTCTGGTTTCTCTGTTAACAATTTATTGTACAACAGCTTTTGTGAAGAAAAACAATAAGACAAAAGTATGTTTTAAATTATGCAAAATTCATGTATTGCTCTCTACCACATTTTGCAGATGTGCATGCAGTTAATGCTATAGTGTAATTCAAAGTATTTTCAACTTCATTAGGACATGTTGTAATTCTCATAAAATCTTTAATCCTTCATATTTATAGTCAGATGAAAATGAAAAACTCCATACAGCATAGTATGTTACACATCATTTTGATTTATTTGAATTTTCCTTTCTCTGTCACTACAGAACACTGTACTAATTTTATTTGGCAACTAATTTTCATATTTTAACAGAATTCTAAAAAGGACTTTTTATTTGTCCCTTTTTATCGGGTCTTTATCAGGTTTTGTTCAACCTGATATCTTCATAAATGATCTGGAGGATGGTGTGGATTGCACCCTCAGCAAGTTTGCAGATGACACTAAACTGGCAGGACAGGTAGATAAGCTGGAGGGTAGGGATAGGATACAGAGGGACCTAGACAAATTGGAGGATTGGGCCAAAAGAAATCTGATGAGGTTCAACAAGGACAAGTGCAGAGTCCTGCACTTAGGACAGAAGAATCCAATGCACCGCTACAGATTAGGGACCGAATGGTTCGGCAGCAGTTCTGCAGAAAAGAACCTAGGGGTTACAGTGGACGAGAAGCTGGATATGAGTTAACAGTGTGCCCTTGTTGCCAAGAAGGCCAATGGCATTTTGGGATGTATAAGTAGGGGCATTGCCAGCAGATCGAGGAACGTGATCGTTCCCCTCGATTCGCCATTGGTGAGGCCTCATCTGGAGTACTGTGTCCAGTTTTGGGCCCCACACTACAAGAAGGATGTGGAAAAATTGGAAAGAGTCCAGCAGAGGGCAACAAAAATGATTAGGGGACTGGAACACATGACTTATGAGGAAAGGCTGAGGGAACTGGGGATGTTTAGTCTACGGAAGAGAAGAATGAGGGGGGATTTAATAGCTGCTTTCAACTACCTGAAAGGGGGTTCCAAAGAGGATGCTCTAGACTGTTCTCAGTGGTGGCAGATGACAGAACAAGGAGTAATGGTCTCAAGTTGCAGTGGGGGAGATTTAGGTTGGATATTAGGAAAAAACTTTTTCACTAGGAGGGTGGTGAAACACTGGAATGCGTTACTTAGGGAGGTGGTGGAATCTCCTTCCTTAGAAGTTTTTAAGATCAGGCTTGACAAAGCCCTGGCTGGGATGATTTAGTTGGGGATCGGTCCTGCTTTGAGAACGGGGTTGGACTAGATGACCTCCTGAGGTCCCTTCCAACCCTAATATTCTATGATTCTATGATTCAGTGCCTGGGTGGCTTATAGGGTTACCCTGACCGTTGTGTAATTTAGTCAAGAAGGAAATAGAATACAATTTCTTTTACCTCATTAAGACAAAATCAGTATTCAATAATCAAGATTTTGTGCTGTCCACTTTAGGCATATGGTTTGGGAATCTGAAAGAGAACTGGGAAATGCTGGAAAAAAAGAAGATTCAACTAAAAGGAAGCTGTGTAAAATAACGAACAAACGTCACAGCATTTTGTAAAAATTATGGTGCACGTGACCGAGGCACCCTTCCCCACTTTAAGTTTTCCGCCTGTGATTTATTCGGCAGATGACCTGACATTTTAATGCCCTTAGCAGAATATTGCTTTATATTTAAGATGAAATTTTCTTTTATAAATTCTCCAGTATTTTAGACATCAGTAGTTTTTCTTCATCCGCAAGCATGTCTTTTGTTGCTACCATTTTTTTTCCTGAACAAACACTTAATGTTGTGAGAAGAATATCTCATCTCAGTCATGCAGGATACTCAATATACTTCAGTACAATATAGTCATTATTCTGATCATAAACATACTAAGACATACATTTTTGTGTGCCTTTTTCACAATTTTTTATTTGGTGTGATTAGAGGACCATGAACAGAATGGATGTTTCATCCAAAATGGCCTTCATCCAAGTTTTTTGTCCAGAGAGAAACTCTTCAAAGATATTTGGACTAAGTAATCTAAATAAGAGTTTCACTGTTCCAGGGGCTTGATCGTGGCCATCATTCTGTTGTATCGAACACTGGCAATGCATGAAGTTGGAGAAATTGCAGGCCGGTAAGCTGCAAGTAGGATGATGAGCAAAGTCAGATTGATAGTCCACTACCGGCCAGGGGTCAGAGTGCAGGCAGATATCAAGTTAGATCACAGGAATAGGTGCCCAGGGCAGTGGTGGATTTAGAGTTAGTGGAGCCCTGTGCAGAGCTTCATTTTTGCCCTCCTTCCTCCCCCGTAAGGACCCAGCCAAGAAAAAGAACATTCTCTCTTATCTCTCCCACCCCCACATTTTTCATTCTTTTTTTCCTTCATCCTCCTCCTATATTATAAGTAATAGGAAGAGATATCATTGCTCTCTATAAATATATCAGAGGGATAAATACCAGGGAGGGAGAGGAATTATTTAAGCTCAGTACCAATGTGGACACAAGAACAAATGGATATAAACTGGCTAGCAGGAAGTTTAGACTTGAAATTAGGCAAAGATTTCTAACCATCAGAGGAGTGAAGTTCTGGAACAGCCTTCCAAGGGGAGCAGTGGGGGCAAAAGACTTATCTGGCTTCAAGACTAAGCTCGATAAGTTTATGGAGGGGATGGTATGTGGGATAGCCTAATTTTGGCAATTAATTGATCCTTGACTATTAGTGGTAAATATGGCCAATGGCCTGTGATGGGATGTTAGACAGGGTGGGATCTGAGTTACTACAGAGAATTCTTTCCTGGGTGTTTGGTTGGTGAATCATAGAATCATAGAATATCAGGGTTGGAAGGGACCTCAGGAGGTCATCTAGTCCAACCCCCTGCTCAAAGCAGGACCGATCCCCAATTAAATCATCCCAGCCAGGGCTTTGTCAAGCCTGACCTTAAAAACTTCTAAGGAAGGAGATTCCACCACCTCCCTAGGTAACACATTCCAGTGTTTCACCACCCTCCTAGTGAAAAAGATTTTCCTAATATCCAACCTAAATCTCCCCCACTGCAACTTGAGACCATTACTCCTTGTTCTGTCATCTGCTACCACTGAGAACAGTCTAGAGCCATTCTCTTTGGAACCCCCTTTCAGGTAGTTGAAAGCAGCTATCAAATCCCCCCTCATTCTTCTCTTCCGTAGACTATACATCCCCAGTTCCCTCAGCCTCTCCTCATAAGTCATGTGTTCCAGTCCCCTAATCATTTTTGTTGCCCTCTGCTGGACTCTTTCCAATTTTTCCACATCCTTCTTGTAGTGTGGGGCCCAAAACTGGACACAGTACTCCAGATGAGGCCTCACCAATGGCGAATCGAGGGGAACGATCACGTCCTCGATCTGCTGGCAATGCCGCTACTTATAAATCCCAAAATGCCATTGGCCTTCTTGGCAACAAGGGCACACTGTTAACTCATTTCCAGCTTCTCGTCCACTGTAACCCCTAGGTCCTTTTCTGCAGAACTGCTGCCCAGCCATTCGGTCCCTAATCTGTAGCGGTGCATTGGATTCTTCCGTCCTAAGTGCAGGACTCTGCACTTGTCCTTGTTGAACTTCATCAGATTTATTTTGGCCCAATCCTCCAATTTGTCTAGGTCCCTCTGTATCCTATCCCTACCCTCCAGCGTATTTACCTGTCCTCCCAGTTTAGTGTCATCTGCAAACTTGCTGAGGGTGCAATCCATACCATCCTCCAGATCATTTATGAAGATATTGAACAAAACCGGCCCCAGGACCGACCCTTGGGGTACTCCACTTGATACCGGCTGCCAACTAGACATGGAGCCATTGATCACTACCCATTGAGCCCGACAATCTAGCCAGCTTTCTATCCACCTTATAGTCCATTCATCCAGCCCATACTTCTTTAACTTGCTGGCAAGAATACTGTGGGAGACAGTGTCAAAAGCTTTGCTAAAGTCAAGGAACAACACGTCCACTGCTTTCCCTTCATCCACAGAGCCAGTTTTCTCATCATAAAAGGCAATTAGATTAGTCAGGCATGACTTGCCCTTGGTGAATCCATGCTGACTGTTCCTGATCACTTTCCTCTCCTCTAAGTGCTTCAGAATGGATTCCTTGAGGACCTGCTCCATGATTTTTCCAGGGACTGAGGTGAGGCTGACTGGCCTGTAGTTCCCAGGATTCTCCTTCTTCCCTTTTTTAAAGATGGGCACTACATTACAGTTCCTGGCCAATAGGAGCTGCAGAGTCGGCGCTCGGGGCAGGGCCAGCCCGCAGAGACACACACACACCCAGGAGCCGCAGGGACATGTTTGCTGCTTCCAGGAGCGG